CAGGGTCTCGCTCTTGCTCAGGCTGGTTTCGAACTCCTGAGCTCAAACAATCCACCCGCCTCGGCCTCCCAGAGTGCTAGGATTACAGCTTTGAGCCACCGCGCCCGGCCCTCAAGTGTTCTTATATGAACACTTACAGACCAGTAAGAAAAAGTCAGAGTGTTTAAAATAAAAAATGTGCAAAACTTGTAATAATCAATTAAAGAGTTGCCAACATATTAAAAAAAATTCACTCTTACTATTTTTAGTCATCAAAAAAGGAAATGGGGACTTTGTTGATAGCAGTACAAATTGGTCTTTCAGGAAGGCAATGTGGAAATATTTACCAAAAAGTTTAAGACCCATAAATTCCCTTCCTGAAAAGATATACTAGGAAAATAATCAGTGACACAAGGAAGACACATTAAAGTTTTATTTATTATAGGGAAAAACTGAACTTTTATGTCGAACAATGGGGACTTAAACAAATTGTGGTTCATTTGTATTATGCAGTTATTAAAATAATGACATAATATAAAATTGATGACATATTGTTAAATAGAAAGGTTATAAATTAACACACAGAAACCCAGGCATACTATGTGATCCCAATTTTGAAAGTATTTAAAAAATAGTTACATATATATTTAAAAAATATTAACGGTAGTATGTCTAGATAGTGGGGAAATGTTGGTAATTTTTTTTTTTTACTCTTCTTTGTATTTTCTGTATTTTCCAGATTTTCTACCATGGGACAAGAAATTCTTTCATGGGAGTCTATACTCAGTATCATTTTCATTATAGTTTATTTTCACAGTTTCTTCCCTTTCTTCATTTTTGATCTCAAATAAACATTAATAGCTTCAACAATGGTAGCTCCAGGGCTGGAGCTTGTTTGAAATTTTTTCGCCAATAGTCTCTAAATTGGAAACAGTCCAATAAACTATGCTGTAGGAACACATGGGAAAAGCCATTGGCAATGTCTTACTTGAGAATAAGAGATTTAAGGCCTAAATTAGTATCCTAATAATAAAGACATATAACCCAAGAAGAAATAGTTCTATTTATTATAATAATTAAATAACCAAGAGTAAAAATTTTAAAACATAAAATAACTTTAAAAATTAAAATATAGTAAAACTGTACAAAACAAGTACAAAATTAAAAACGCACTGAGTATCCCCAAAACTACATACATATAGGATATATATTTATGAAATTCTTTAGAAATATAACATTTATTCTTGGAATAAAATTTGAAACTTGTTTCTAATTTTCAAACCAAGGAATGAAGTAGTAAATTAATGGTTCCACCTAATTTATAATTGTCCTAAAGAGAATGATTCTGTATCATTTCTTGCTTGTCTTTTCTAATACCCATTCGATCACCTAGGAGGAGAAAACAATGTGATTATGGTACATTTCTATTGAAAACACGAGTGACAGAAAAATATATTGTAAAAACTTCAAAATATGGTAGCAAATTTTAAATAAAAAGGAACACATCTAACTCTTATACTTAAAAACACATTTTATTTTCTAATAGAAGAACACTGTTTACTGGACTTTCAGTACTGAGTACAATATTGTTCTCATTGGATGAAATGAAGATTCTGCTCCATTTTCTCACATTTATCTGAAAATATGTTTCAAATGGTCACTCAGAGAAACCAAATTTTGAAAACAGCTAATCAAAATGGATTAGTTGTTCCAGCCCTTTGCATGATTTATTTTTTCTTTTTCTTTTTTCACATCACTTTAGAAATTCTTTTGTTGGCAGAGCAACCTACTAAGTACTATTAACTACTCTGCCTAAATAAGTCTATTAAGTATGTCAAAGAGTTTTCATAGGGACAGAGTAGAAAAGATGATTCACTAATTATTCCTGTATAAATAATGGCATCAGATCTCCCCTCTAATAAAATACCAATTTAATTGAATGCAGTTTTGGGAAATAATTTACTTACCTGCACAGCATTGTTGTTTGTTGTTTTCTTCATTTCTTCAAATAGACCCCTTGAAGTTTTAAGATCCTAAACATAACAAAATACAGCATTTTACAATTTGCACATTAAATTACAGAGAATAATTCATTATTATTAAATAAATTTGAGATTATCCTAAATCATTCTACAAGTATCAATGTCATTAAGGAAATGCTACAAAAAAAATCAAAGTAATAGACTGTAATTTAGCTCCATTCTTAAATATCAAAATACTCTAACCAAAATACATATATATATATATACACATAAGTCCATCTCACTCTTATCTTATATTCCCAATATGGCTGACCTAATCTAAGCCCCATTCTCTACTATGAGTATCCACTAATTTAGGAAATGAATATATAATTTGTATTTATTTATCAGATAAAATATGTTTTTTCTTCATTTTGGCTGTTTAATTCCATCACAAAGAGGGATGACATAGGAAAGGAAACTGATATCTTACTTTTTTGATTTAATGATTATATCCAATTAGATTACAGAGGGCTGTATCTCCAAGTTATACTCCTTAGAGACAGCCACTTTCAATTCTTTCAGCTGTTTCTCTTGTTTATACCTTTCTGTTTCTTCTTCTTCTTTTTTTTGAGACAGGGAGTCTTGCCAGTCTGTCACCCAGGTTGGGTGCAGTAGCACCACCATAGCTCACTCACTACAGCCTTAAATTCCTGGGCTCAAGCAATCCTCTTGCCTCAGCTTCATGTTTCTAACCAGTATGTTTATACTGCTATTTGGTGATTTTACAAATTCAGATAGTGACTATAGACGTCAGTGATTAACAGTCACAGACTCAGTTCTCGTACACATCACCTCCCTTCTCTTCCTTTCAATAAAAGTTGCACCACAATTTTTGATTAGTAAATAGTCAGATTTGCATTATTTTATCTAGGTAAATACTATTCAATCTTGAGCTAATTAATGTATTATGGTTATCATTTCTCTTTCATCCAACATTACATTTATCCTATATTAAACTACCTGTTACATGTTTTCAATTGCTTAGTTTTCCTTGTATATAATTCTGGTGTTTTTCCTCCACCTAAATGTTAGCAATACACTGATTAAATGTACAGCAAAGTTTTTTAAACACTGATGTATACTGGATAAACTCAGTTCAGTTTTTTGTTTCTGGGGTTTTTTTTTTTAAACTGAATTTTTTTAACCTGGAGATTTTTCTCCCATAGCCTCCTCCAATGGTCTAGTGCTGCCTAGGCCTGGTCCTGTTAAGATTTGTCTGCCCCACTCTAGATTAGTTTTTGTTTTATTTCTTGATTCCGTCCCCTTGTTCTGCTGAACTTCATCTTCTAGCAAATTCCTCAAAAGGGTAAGACAAATTCTTTTTTAGATCTTCCATGTTTGAATGTATCTTCATTAAATCTTCATATCTGATTGAGTTCTAGACCAGGTATAGAATACTAGGTAAATCACTTTTCCTTGGAGTTTGAAGACACTTTTCTATTGTCTTCTAGCATATAGATGCTATCGTGGAGAAGTCCAATGCCATTCTGATTCTTGATTCTTTGTATGTAAGCTACATTCTCTCCTCGGAAGCTTTTAGAAAATGTTCTCTCTATGCTAAGAGGTATGAAATTCCACAATCATGTGGCTTGTTGTAGAATTTTCCGTTATTGGTCCGGATAAGCTGTGCGCCCTTTTTAGCAGGAGGCTTGTGTCCACTTCTGGAAAACTCTGTTATATTTTTGACAATTTTCTTTCCTCTATCCTCTATTTTTGAAACTCCTATTATTAGAGTATTGGATCTTTTGGAATAATTCTCTAATTTTCTTATACTGTGTTCCATGTTTTTGTCATTGCTCTAATTTCTGTTAAATTTTTTCATCTCAACTGTTCAGCTTTTCTATTGAATTGAGTTCATCATATTCATTTCAACATTTCATATTCTATGAATTTTTAACAGGGAATCAACATCCTGTTCTAGTTTTACAGGTGTAATTATCTTCTTTCTAAGAGAATTATAGTTTTCATGAAGTTTTCTTTAACTTTCTCTTTCTTTAGAGTTCCCTTAATTCCATTATGTTTTGACATCACTTCTATTAGAAGCTTTCCTCAAAGTTTGCTGATCCCTGGCCGTCCAGTCACATTTAAAAGTGAAACACTAAAAATCTTATTGGAAGCTCTGTCTGTGAGGAACTTGTCACTGGTTGCTTTTCAAGGCAGGGTAACAAGGTGGCCAGTTGGCTTTTTCAGTGTGGCCTCCAATTGCTTCTCTAGAGACTATTTCCTGCACTGCCACAGAGGTAGAAGGAAAAACTATGTGTAATAGACCTTATAGTTCACACCGTGGGAGAAAGGCATGCAGAGCAAGTTGAAGGATCCCCAGTTCACTGTGTAGATCTTTGTGTAATTTCCCTATTTTCTACCTGGCACATTTCCCCCACTTTCCATGATACCTGGTATCTTCAAAACCCTGAGCACCTCAGAGATTATGTCGGTTGAATTAACATGAGTCTTACTGCTATTCCACTAGGCATGCAATTAGATTGTAACTTCTTTTACTCTGCTACACCATGCTTCCAAGAGCTTTTTCTTATTCAACAATGTACTAAAAACACTTCTACAGTTTTTTCTTGCTTTTTTCCTTGTTTTTTGTAGGTTAATACTGTCTTTCTTGAGAGATTTTATAAAGGAAGGGAATTGAACACATGTGGTCAATCCATAATTTTAACCAGAAGCCCACATATAACTGTGATTGAAGTCGGAAACTCTTAAGGATGGAGATAATCTAACACCATCTGTGTTTTGGAAAACTGTCGTCTGAGTGGCTGACCTGTCTAATGTCTTCCAACTAACTGATAATAGATCCAAAATTAGAAACTGGGTGTTTTGATATTCCGTCCAGTAGCCTTTTCACTACACAGTCGTCCCTCGGTATCTGTGGGGATTGGTTCCAGGACCCCACACAGATACTAAAATCCATGGATGCTCAAGTCCCTTATATATTATAACATGGCTCAGTATTTACATAAAACCTATGCACATTTTCCTGTACACTTTAAATTACTTATTACTTATAATACCTAATACAATGTAAATGCTATGTAAATAGTTGTTATACTGCTTTGTTTAGGGAATAATGACAAGATAAAAAAAGTCTGTCGACAGATATGAAATCCATGCATATAGAGGGCTCACTGTATAAGAAGTTACTAATTAAACATGTTTTGAAGTTTATTATCAACTTAAGTCAAAGACTGGTTGGAGAAATACTGAAGATACTGGTTAAAATGTAGCTTTCTATATATAAGAGGGACACTGTTAAGAAGACCACAGGGTTAGGGGAAGAGAAAAGGATTTCAAAGACCTCCATCTTCCCTCATCAACAAGAGACAGGGAATCTGCCCACACATAGTACACCACTGCTATAGCCTATGAATAACTATATATATGAGGACTAAAAGCAAAGATCAAACAGAATATTTTGGCTTCAATTTTTGTTATCTCCATTATTTAAAAAAATCTGGCAGCAAATTACATGCTCTCAGTGTAAAAAATACTCATTTAAACTTTTTTTTTATGTCAAACAGGAACATTAGAAAATGAACTAAATTTTGCCATTAGTAGAGAAGACACCATACCTTTAGGTAGAACTTAGAGATTTCGAAGAGACGCTGGCTGCATGCAGTAAAACATTCATGAGCCTCAGTAATATTGTGTTTCTTCAGGGTTTCAGCAACTACTTCCTTCAATATCTTCAATAGAATATAACATATGACTAATATATTTCTTGAAAAAGGTACAAACAGCTTTAGAGTTTAATTGTGTAAATTACACAATCATTTAGCTGCACTAAAAGACAGATAAGCTCATTAAGACAAAATGATTGAGAAGAAAAGATACCTGTAACATTTACTTGGTCACACTGCCATAGGATTAGTATGTTAGCAGGCAATGACAGGAGTATCTTAAGAAAGGAATTCAAATCATGAGTTCTGAATTGACATATGAGTGTAAGTAAAAGTTACACACAGCAGGTATATATAAGTATTTATTTTTTATTATGGAAAATTTCAAGCATAGAAAAGTAGAGAAAATATTTTATAACAAATCCTTATCTTGATATATCTATCAATCAGCTTCAAAGATGAGCAATCTGTGGCTAATATTGGTATATTGATACCCCCATCCACTTTCCTATCATTCTTCTTCCACTGGATTATTTTAAAGTAAATTCTAAATATCACTTCATTTATAAAATTTTTAGATATACATTTTAAAGAAATCAAATAAAGAAATTTCTTCCCATGTAGAACTAAGAAAAACAGGAAATAAATCTTTACCCGCGTGTGTTTCTGTGATCTTGATTCCTTAATTTGCATGGATGTTTTTGATTCATGCATACTTTTGTGACCTGAACTGGCCTTTGCACTGACTTTTGGAGTTTCACAGCTGGGAAGTGGAACCAATGGACATGTCACTGATAACAACCGCTCTGCCCGTGGCTTTCTGGACGTCACCGCGTGATGATGATGATTACCGTTGCCGCTGGTCTGAGAAAGGAGAGAATCTGAACTTTCAGATTTCACAAGTCTATAGTAGAGGAAAAAATTCAGGGACACAGATTAAGTGAATTAACAACAAAGTTGGTTTTTTTTGTCTTAAATGTTACAAATATATCCATCCAAGAATAAATTTAAGAAAAGCAAACACTTTCTTGCAACTTACATATACACTTTCTTGAACAACTTATAAAGTTGTTCTTTAGTTCTTCAAATGAATAACTAAAACATAGAAGGCAATGAATAACAAACTAGGATTTCAGCTAATAGGGAAAGCAACAAGCTACATTGCTATACTTTCCCCCATCCCTCCAATTTACAGTTTCTCACATAAATCAGCTATGCATGCCCGGTGCTGCTATTTATAGATTTAATACTCATCTGTTAAGCATTTATACTTTTCTATTGAGATAATTTTCACAAAGAAATCACAACTTACATCTTATTGTACCTATGCAACTGCCTTGCAAAGTAAGTAATAGTGTTAAAACAAATACAAATAAAATTGGCTGGTGTTTCAATCTTTAAAAATTTTTTTTATTTATATAAATTCATGGGGTACTCAATCTTTCTAAAATGTTTACATTTGCCTCCATTATGACTCAAATTTTTCCTTTTACAAGATAGGGTCTTATGGCTTTCAATTCTGCTAACCCAAAGGCCACAGTATACTTTCCTTTTAGGAACATGTATCTTTTTATTAGTCACAGGTCAGAAATAAGACACACAGTACAAAATATAGTATCCCAAATGTTAATGTTGCTTTTAGCTTTATCAGGTGTAAAAAGCACGATGAACCTATAAAATCTTCATAAAAATAACCTAGTTCTTCCATATCAGGGAAACACTATTCTAATATTTTTAACTATTCAAAAACAGATCTGAAAGTTTTGCTATCATATACTTCACACTTTCTGCAAGGTTTAATAAAGATTTGAGGCTTACTTTAAATGCCAAGAACTTAAATTTGACAAAGGTTCTAAAGATATATAAATTCAATAGAAATTAGTGTTCATTACATAAGTTTCTAATTTCTAATCAAGTATTTGGTCATTTTGTTTAGCTAGCCAAAAAAAAAAAAAAAAACAAAAAAAGTTTCATATAACGTATTATTATGTAAGCTTTCAAGTCATATTTTTTATGTAACAAGTGGTTTTAAAATGATGAATCATGGAACCCCTTGCTTAAGAGGCCAATGCAAGCAGGAAACAGTGAGGAGAGAGGTAAGGAAGACCTAAGAGAACTCCCATTCCCAAACACCCTCTTCAACAGAGCAGCTCAGCTGCTTAATCTATGGGGTGAGATCTCTAGTGTTCCATGGCTTAAAAACTTTATAATCCATTGTGCTAATGGACTAAATACTAGCATATAAAGCAAGAAACTGTTTTTTTCCCACCAAGTCATTTCTTTTTATTACTATAACTTATAAGCAAAATCATCTACTGTTCACAATAAAAACAAACTTCCTGGCATGAAGGAATTAATCTAAAAGACTAATATGAAATTAAAAAATTCCTCTGGAGACTAAAACACTTTGTCAAGATACTATTTATGTGCACTTAATACATCACCTTTTTTTTGGATAAAGGCAATTCAGATCTTTAGATCTCCGTTTCAATCTGGATACTTCAGTTTGAAGTTCACTTTGTAAAGATTCTCCATCAGGGACACTTCCAGTCTCTGACAAAACTGCAGGAGATGGAAGAGGGCTCAAAACAGTAGGTACTGGAAAACTTTCTCTGGTGCAGGTAGTTTGAGTTTCATAACGAATAAGACGAGATTGAAGCTCAGAGAATCCCCCATCTCTTTCCAAAGCTTTTCGGTCATCCAAGCAATATCTAAAATGAGGAAAAGAGCATTAAAATCAAAGCCTCCATGATAGAAACAAGTTTTTTTCCCTCTCAAATGGAAGACAGTAAAACATTTACTTAAAAAGTTCTTAATTTCCAAATAATTGTTGGAAGGTTGAGTAAATGGCCTACTTCCCTCACAAGTTTTTTTTTCTAGTTTGCTATATGACATGGCAAAAGATTAAAAAATATGAAGTACAATCTGATTTCTCTTTGACTGTGGTTCTGGGCAACAGATTAAGTTAATTCTTTGGCTTATTTTCAAAATAATACAGTTGCTGTTTTAATACTTTTTAAAACTCTACCAACCTCTGCTTTCTCAGCATGGCTGATATATAACAACATGAAATGCTGACTTCTGTTAGAAAGGGCAAGTTTATTCTCAACACAAAGATTAAAAGTCTTTAAAGGTATTCTACACTGGCTCACCAAACAGCTTAGAACATTTTGAATTTTTTCTTTGAAACTCACTTCCCACCTTATTAACTGATTGACAGATTTTCCTTCAAACACTTCAGCTGTCTGTACATCTGGTTTCTAGCTAAATCTGATCCAAGAAATCAATGAAATGTTAGTTCAGTGAATGCTTTTGGCCTCAAAGAAATTCCAGGTTCTTAAGCACAACAAACAAGTATATCAGGAAGATCACCTACGAGCTGTGTGACCTTGGAAAGCTCCTCACTTTCTTCCCTTTCTACAACTGCATCAAGAAAATACAAATGGGTTTACATATGTGATGGCAGGACTGTAAAAATTAAAACCTTTCTCTGTTATCTGCCCTTTCTACCTGTCAAATGCTAAGATGCTCCCTAAAATCATATTTTTGGATCTGTAAGCCTTTTAGGTCAACTCCCAAAGAGTGTATCATTTCCCAAACATCTGATTGTCTGATGGAGGTTTTAAGAAGTTTATCTTCCCCTCATGACACTTACATATTTGATTTCTAAGAGTACAGACTATGGAGCCAGACACCAGGGATTTAAATGTGAGCTCTTCTATTTACTAGCTGTGTGAACTTGGCCAGATTACTTAAATTTGTCTATGATTCTGTTCCCTCATCTGCAAAATGGGATTTAAAGTACTTATCTGAAAAAGCTATTGTGAGAATTACTTGAATAAATAAACACTAAGAATCAGTGCCTGAAACACGCAAGCAAAGCAGTCAATATATGTATACTATCATCATCATCATTATCATTAGATTTATTTCCTAGAACAGCAAATCTTATAGTATGCTGATAATATGTAGCATAGCCAGAATTTCAACCCAGGTTGGTGACTTCAGAACCTGACTTTAACCATTTTAGCATACTATCTCTTACGTAAAGTGTAAGGATCATCTTACTCAATGTTCAACATATAGCTGGACATTAGAATCATCTGAAGAGCTTTTAAGAAGTATCACATGCCCAGAGTTCCTGATCGAATTGGTCTGGGGTAAGACCAAGTCATTGACATTTTTTAAAATCTGCTTAGGTGATTCTTAAAAAAAATGTCGAATACACAAAAACAGAGTAGAATGGTGGTTATGGGTGGTGGGGGGATATGAGAAGATGTAGGTTAAAGGGTACAGAGTTGCAGAGTTATGCAGGATGAATAAATCTAGAGATCTAATGTATAGTATTAAGACTATTGTTAATAATATTGCATTGTATACTGGAAATTTGCTAAGAGAGTGGACTTAAGTGCTCTTATAACACACAAAAAAAGAAGTAAGAAACTTTGTGAGATGATGTATATATTGATTTGCTTAACCATAGTAATCACTTCACTATGTATATATTATCTCAAAACATCATGCTATACACCTTAAATATATATAATTTAAAAGAAAAAACCTGCCTAGGTTTTTCTAAATACACTTTAGAACTGAAAAAATCTCTTAGCTAATCTACGTGTTAAATTTAACAGGTGAGAAAACTGAGCTCCTAAGTCAGAATGTCACTTGGTGACAGAAGAGAGAGTAGAACTTAGGTTTCTAGTATCCTGTGTAATATTTTTTCTCCAGTCTGTTGTTTAACAAAACGTATTTCATTAAAAATAAGCAGCAACTCTAAGGATTACTGATGAGTCTTATTTACTCTGATAGAATCTAGAGTAAAATTAAGAACTATGAATTTTAAGAAAGTGTCTAGGCAAGAGGCTATGTAATGCCTGATTAGTATACAGAAAGTTTCTGAGAAATAACATGCATATTTTGATTCTAAGAAGAATATTTTTTCTACTCTATGATTTTGTTTCTAAGATTTTTTCTTTGAGTTTTAATATCCCTTGATTGTAGCTGTTCATAATGTCATACTTTCAACTAAATTATGTACACTGTACATGTTGACTTTAATTACCATTTAAAATGTCTTTAAAATGGTTATACTATAGTGGAAATTATGATTTGCCATTCAAACAAAAATTTACTTTGTAAATCAGAAATGAAAAGAAACAGAGTAGCAGGGTATATATTTGATATTAATGAAGTAAATATTTATTGTTGGATGAATGACCGTAATTCCATATTTTCTTACAAAACAATAACCAAATCCTTTATGGGTCCTAAAAAAGAAAAATACCTGTAAGATGATGAAGCTATTTTTGTTTTACGAATAAGAAATAGACAAAATACTGCCTATCACACACCAAACGATGCCAATGAAGGCAGGAGAAACTGCCAAATATTTTGGAATAGATGAAAGAAACTTCAAAGCAACAAGAGGATGGCATGACCAAATGATTGTCACAGTATGACAGCATAATTTAATTTGTTGTTTAATAAAACAGTACATTTTACAATCAAGGGCATCTTACACTCCAGGATAGATAAATGAAAAAATAAATAGACAAACAAGCCAACAGTGGTTGTATTTCATTTTGCCTTAGGAAATGTTGATTTGCACCTGAGCAATTAACATATTTTTTTCTAAATATTCCTTTATGTCAGAGTAGGGGAAGAGCGCTGGGATCCTAAAGGCCCACAGCAACACAGAAAGAGAGAACTTTCTTTGCAGTTTCATACTTACTTTAAAGTGTCATTTGAATCTTGATTCTACTCCATAATCTACATTGAACATAGATTGGCCCTCATACTATACGATCAAATATTCTTAAAAAAAACATGTTTTTGGAGTAAAGCTGCTCACCTCCTACAACTTTGTTAGTCTGGTCTCAATGTCCTCAGTTTCATGAGCATAAATTTACAGTAAAGAAAACTGGAGTCACAGCTAGATTTGTTTACTTGTCTAGGAGAACAAGTAGGTACTAGAGGAGAAGAGAATTACTCCTTTATAATGAATCAGAATCTCATAATATTGTCTGTGTATAAATTAGTAAGGCTCTGTATAGATTTAGGCCCATCAGGAAACAGTGCTCAAATAGGTCTTAATTTAATATTTTGATAATTGATCATGAAGAACATATCTTTTATAAATTCTATAAATTTACATGTTAACATTAAAATTTTTCTATAGTAAACTAAAAGCAACAGAAAAAAAGAATAGGGACATATAAGACTCAGAATAAACAAAACGAAATTAAAGCATTTTGGGAAAAATAATCTAAAATATGATTATATGATAGACACTTCAGTCAGTAGTTAAAATGGAATTATTGTCACTTATTTTATTTAAATCAGTGAGTTTATAAGGCCAAAGAGGCGAAAGACACGTAAGTCCTGGGGTATTTTGGCCATATAGCAAAGAAAATGTTAATACTAGTACATTTTTTCAGCAGCGAATATCATTTTTCACCATAATAATGTAAACACTGTTTACTGGATTCAACTTTCAGATTCTAGTTATATGCAAAATACCTACCTAAAATGTTCATTAGATCCCTTTAATATATTAGGAGGCCTTAAAATTCTTATTAAACAAAATGGGGAGATAAGAAATTTAAATATATTTTTCTAAAACATGAAAGTAAATAGCAGAGAACTCAAATTGACAAGAAGGGGAACGAAATCCTCATTTTCCATAGCAAAGAGTCAATATTTTACAAGGAGACATTACAAGATATTGACAGAAGGATGTCCTTTAGAAAAAGAGAGATAACCACCAGGGAAAAGAAACCAAACAAATAGTTGTTTCTGAAAAGTGGGACTGGAGGTAGATAGTGATAAAGGTTTTCATTATAAATTTTTCTGTAATGTTTAATTTCTAGCTTTTTAATAAAATCAAAAGGGGTAAACAAAAATATATTCTATTAATCAAATTTTTATGTAGTAGAACAAAGATACTCTCACTTAAATGTAGTAAACTTAGTATAAATAAAAAGTAAAATTTTATAATCAATGCATAAAAGGGTATATAGCTAAATATAAAGTTTATATAAAAGGTTTAGTTGAATTCAAGAATATTAGGGAAATATCTCTAGCTTTTTTGTATTAAAGGGAGAATAATAATTCTCTCCAACAAGAAGTCCTTTTGTCAAATATCATAAATAAAAAGCTGGCCTAGTGCTTTGGGAGGCCAAGGCAGAAGGACTGCTTGAGGCCAGGAGTTTGAGACTAGACAGGGCAACATGGCAAGCAAGACATCGCTACAAAAAATAATATTAGCCAGCCATGGTGGTGCATGCCTTAGTCCTAGCTACAGGGAAAGCTGAGGTGGGAGGATCACCTGAGCCCAAGAGTTCAAGGTTACAGTGGACTATGATGGATCATGCTGCTGCACTTCAGCGGCAGAGTAAGACTCTGTCTCCAAAAAAAAAAAAAAAGGGAAAATAAATAAATAAAAAAAAGTTAAAAAGGCTGGAACAAGTGGTATTTCTTATTTTTTTATGATTCAGTAATTATTTCTGAGTTGCCTCTATGTTGGTGTTGTTCACAAAACAATTTAAAATTCTTCTCTTAATCATTTAGATTCAAATTCTCAAATTAGCATTTCATAGAGGACTTCTTTCAGAAATGATTTCATTATTGGATGTTATACTTCCTATTGCTCATTTCAAAGTCCTCAAACTCTTATTTCAACTGTCTTTTGCTACAGACATTTAACATTGTTGCATGGATCAATATTTTGGTTTTTATTATTATTGAGTAGTATTGCTTGTATAGATACATCAGTTTATTTACCTATTCTATTGATACACTCCTAGGCTCTTTCCAGTGTGGAGCTATTATAAATAAAACTACCATGTACATTTTGTACAAGTCTTTTTCTGGAGATATGCTTTCATTTTCTTAGGAAAATACCTAGTGTTGGAATTGCTGGGCCCCATCTAATAGTTTCTGAGCAATTACAGTATAATTAGTGATCAGGAAACATTAATGTGACCAATAGAGTAAATATACATTTTATAACATAGGGACCAAAATAATGTTGATTAAAATATCTAGCAGCTGTGCTGGGCATGGTGGCTTACACCTGTAATCCTAGCACTCTGGGAAGCTAAGACAGGAGGATGGCTTGAAGCCAGGAGTTTGAGACCAGCCTGAGAAACAAAATGAGACCTCATCTCTACAAAAATTAAAAAAAAAAAAAAAATTAGCTAGGCATGGTGGCACAAGCCTGTGGTTCCAGTTACTCTGGAGACTGAGGCAGGAGGATCGCTTGAGTCCATTAGTTTGAGGTGAGCTATCATAATGACACTATACTCTAGCTCAGGCAACAGAGTGAGACCATGTCTCAAAAGAAAAAAAAAAAAAAAAGGAACAAATGAAAATATCTAGTAGTTAATAATAGGATATTTAAATGCCATAAACTTAATTAATCATCAAATAACTTTTTTCTTCAATAGAAGACAAAAATTATTTGAGTATGTGCTGCTTTGTTTTTTAAAGTTTTTGACATACACTCTTTGGCTCTGTCTCTATTTATATTATTTTATTACAGTCACTCTTTACACACACACATGAGAGAAGTTGCATGGACAACATGCAAAAGAGTACAGTGTAAACAAAAACTTACTCAATTCCATGATAATGACATACTGAGGCTTTCTCAAAAGGTAAGACCTGAAGTTTCCGAGGACTGAGTTCTGGTGTCAGAACAAAAGACTTTTCCCTGAAACAAAAAGTTTTTCATTTGTATTTAAGATTTTATTTATTTTTATTATTTTTTCTTTTTTTAAATCCCCCATGTGATAGTATGTATTTAAGGTTTATTTAGTGACAAAGAGAAAGTTAAAGAACGGGTCTAAAGAAACAATCTGACCTCTCCTCTACAACTGATTTTTTTTCCTTGGTGAAGTGAACTAAGTTTTATGCATTAGGTCAAATTTTTTTTGCAATAGAATAATTAAAGTAAACTTGAAAAGTATTTACATCCTATTATAATACATATGGTATCCAGATCTTCTTTGCCTGAGAATGTAGTCATCATGACATCTACTTTAAGAGTCAGCAACTTTTTAAATATCAGAGGGTATAGAGACTTAACTGCTGACTTCCGTTCCTTTTCTGAAGTTAGGTTTTCAATCAGCAGGTATGTTAGAACTAATCATATGTTGAGTTTACATAAAATATTCACACCAACCCCTTCCACACCCAGATCCGTAGGGGTGTATCAAAATTTGGGAAAGAAGGAGGTCACTGCAATTAGACTGAGCTCTCTGGGTTACTCTGATAGGTGCCTTCCTTCACTGCCTGAGTTGGAAACCACTGTTCTATGTAACTGATCATGGTCCTGAAGCTCAGAACTTGGTTAGATAAGAATGGGACAATTATGCAAAAGTAGTCTTTACACAGTTAATAGGTAGAATGAAATACCAGAGACTTGAATTCAGAAGAGCTGAAAATGGTATGTAGAAAGGCAAGTAAATAGTAGAATACCAAGAATAAATTTGCTATCACATTTTTTCCCCTATGGCATTAGTAATGAAAATTGCCCTTCTACTACTGAAAATTATCTAGAGTACTATGATAAGCATTTGAAATTATTACATTAAAATTTAAGACATATGCCAATTAATGAATCCTAAAAAGCAGATTTTATACTCAATTGCAGCCATTTAAAGTGTTCCATGAAAAGTAACACCAATAAATTACAATGACCCCAGTTATTTTGATGACTACTAAAATGAATAATTTTATAATATAAAACTCTGTATCCAGCATTTCAGTTCTTTCCTTTACCTTTTCTTTGATAATGTCTCTCATTTCTCATTTCAATCCCTCTCAGCAACTTTACCTATTTTTGTTTAATTTCACTCACAACTTGTTCTTCCTAAAAGAAACATTTTAATAAATTTGTGTTCTGTCAATGTTTATTATTTCCTTGGCATATACACAGCAGTCATGTTTGCACTTTGTTTAATTTAATACAGCATTTTGGATAGCTCCTTGCAAAGGCAGACATTTAATAAGGGCACGTAAGTTTCTGATTCATTGCAATGAAAGCTCATCCCTCACCTCTAATGTTAACAGAAGATACACTTGATAATGATGCAGTTCTTTACTAACACTGAAGAATCACGTCAAACTTTCCTAAATAAATCAACTACGGTTTCTGTAAACTACAGAAAGAATTAACCATATCTCCTATACATTGCATCTAGAAAGACATTCTAATCAAAAAGACTACAATAAATAATTCAGTTTTGGCAATCCATCCGACTTTGCCAGTTTGTGCTTAATGATTTAAAGAACAGTAATTCAATAACTAAATAGATAAAAATGTACATACTTCTTCACTTTCTGGATTTCCACAAAAAAGGTTATCAATCTCTCAAAGTTATGAGAAAATAAAATTACTCCAAAATTATATAATTTCTATGACATTAAGATCATTAAGTCATTAAGACCCAGAGTTATTAAGGTCCTCAAATTTTCAAAGTCACTCTCTATCTCTCTAGTGAACATGCACATAAAGGCAATAATGGTCTAACAATATTTGAGATATAACTACCTTCAAATAAATCCTTTCCAAAATTCACCTTTAAAATCAATATTTATCAGAATATAATTCAAATCAAGTTTTGTAAAAGTGATCAAAGTGATCTACAATTTTTAAGGTCCTTTGGAAGGTTTTCAAACCAATGGATTAACAAAAAGAAATGGGAGTAATGAGCAAATTATTCAATCCTTACAAGTATTTGATGTCACAATTTTACCTGTAATTTTGCCAACTTCAGCAACATCCAGCATTTATTAACTGTATCTTAGTGGAAACTGTCTTGGAAGTCAAATTAGTTGTAAATTATTCATGTAGACACTGAATTCTTATTTGGTAATGTCATAGTTTCAAAAGCATTTTTATTATATTTTCTCATTCTCTTCCCTTGAAAGGCTGAGCTTTTTGCTACTATTAGACATGACTGACAATGTTCACGCAAAGTTGTGTCATCAAAACCAGAGAGTTAACACAGAAAAGAGAATTAAAAAAATATATTTGCAAGTCAAATTCTAATTTTTTTCTTAAAAAGTACTGTCCTTTGTATACAAAGTAGAAATTACTGACTTCTGTAGGGAATATGCTGAGATTGCTTTTATTATTTTTGTTTCCCTCATATTTAATACCATAAAAACAGTAGGACATTTAGCTAAGACAGAATGTGATGATTAATGCCAACCAATAAACAATGGGATCAGACTTACGAATTTTGCTTAAGTAGCACCGGGTATCAATTAACTAAGGAAATGAGATGCAATGTTATTTAAAAAATGATTTTTAAAAATTGGAAATTATAAATTTATAATTTACCCCTTTTGAATTGGTAAAGGTTGAAGATCTCCTACTGGTAACCCGTCTGAGGTAAAGTATTTCAGCAATTCTTTAGCATCCAATAGTGTGATTGAATCCCGAGGACCCTCTTTGTGACCCAGCAACTGTTCAGATGAACGAGGTAATGAACCAGTTCTGCAAAAATAATGTTACGCAGATTTATTTAAAGTATATTTGAATTTGCCATAGTCAGGAAAAGGTGATGTGAGCAGAAACAAACAAACAAAAATACACAAAGAAAACCAAAGAATTAAACATTTAGGAAATACAATAAGGTAAAATATTTGCAAATCATTTAGTTTTAAACTATATTTTTAAAAATCTTTATGTTCTCTAAGCAGTGTTTTGTAGCATACAGTGCAGAGGTTTTGCTTACTATTTTTCTTTGGTTGCTTTCAAGACTTTATCTTTATTTCTAGTTTTTAACAAGATGATATGCTATG